AATGAATGAACGGAAATCCAAAGTCTCTGTAAATTTTTATTGATATTAATAATGAAAAAAAATTTTTTTAAAGAAAAAGTAGACTTATGGTCAGATAGATAGAAACTGGTCATGAACCTGTGTGTGTACATGTGTGTGCAAACAGCTAACCCCTGAGATTATAACCCATATCTACCCTTCAAGCTTGATACTAACTCTCCTATGACTCAGAGAGTAAATAAATTTGCAGGGTAAGGAGCTGGAAGAGGGAGATGTGAACTCACCAGGAGAATCAACCACTGGAGGGCAGAGGGACACAGTATTTTTCCCCAAAGACATAGAACAGAACCAGGAAGGGACGGGGGGGAGGGATGGAAGTGACACACACAGGAAGGAGGGGGATAAGTGCTGTTACGTGGTGGAGACTGCGGTCAGCAGCACAGAACAGAATGCGGAGGATCTGCTGAATTCAAGACTGATTTGCCCTGTAAACTTGCACCCCAATCACAATAAAATACTTACCATTTTAAAAAATATCATTAGGATAATTTCTGGTTGTCAGAGAACGTAGAGACCAACATAAAAAGAATCAAATCCCCGGTGTGTTGGACTTGAATTGTAGACTTGTTTGTTGTTGTTGTTGTTATTGTTATTGTGTCAGAACTAACATACAGCTGATCCACCAGTGGATTTTCTAAGGCAGCAAATCCCACAGGAGGAGAGTGCCCGTGTTCCTCCTGCAGAGCAGCTGGTGGATTCAAACTGTGTAACTTTGGGGTGGCAGCACACTCCTTACCAGCAGACCACCAGAGCTCTCTTGAGTGTAGGTGGTGGTACAAAATCCGTGTTATAACATACACGTGGGATCTGATGTAGGAACCTCTGTGCTGTTAGGGCCACTGCGTTGGCTGTGACTCAAGACACCTCTAAGAATAGCAGATCGGAACCCTGCCCTGCCCGATGCCCTCCTCACCATTTCTGCTCCACTCACGCCCATTGTGACAGGCACTGCATCAACCCACCTCACTGAGCATGTTCCTCATTCTCGGACCTCCCCCCTCCCCAGCATGCTGTCTTTTTCCCAAGGACTGACCTCTCTCTTCAATATGACTAAAGTATATCGATAAGTTTATAAAGAAACTCTGGTGGCACCAAGATTAAAAAATTTTGGCCACTGTTTCATGGGTTATACAAAGGCATTTGACTGTGTGGACTCTGAGAAGAATGGGAATCCCAGAACACTTGATCGTGCCAACGTGAAACCTATACTTGGACCAAGAGATAGTCATCAGAACAGAGCAGGGCAACACTGCATGGTTCAAAATTGGGAAGGGATGTGTCCTGTCTCCATACCTTTTCAACCTGAATGCAGAACAGATTATCGGGAGGCTGGGCTCTATGAGGAGAAATGTGGTATCAGGATTGGTGGGAGATCTATCAACAATCTGTGTTATGCAGATGACACAACCTTGCTTGCTGAAACTGAGGAGGACCTGAAGCTCTTGGTGCAGAGGGTCAAGGACTGCAGTCTTCAGTATGGATTGAGGCTCAATGTCAAGAAGACAAAGATTCTCACCACTGGACCAATTGGCAGCATCAGGATGGATGGTGAAGAGATTGAGATTGTTCACAGCTTCAGTCTGCTCGGCTCCACAATCAACACTCTTGGCACCAGCAGCCAGGAAATGAAAAGACATATTGCCATGGGAAAGTCTGCTGTTAGGGACCTTTCCAAAGTTCTGAAGAGCAATGGTGTCTCTCTGGAGACTAAGGTGCATTTGATAACAGGCCATGGTCTTTGCAATCACTTGTTATGCGTCAGAGAGTTGGACAATGCCTAGGGAGGATAGAAGGAGAAGTGATGCCTTTGAGCTGTGGTGCTGGAGAAGAGTATTGAGTGTATCATGGACTGCTAAGAAAACAAACAGATTCACCCTGGAAAGAGTTAAACCGGGCTGCTCCTTGGAGGCAAGGATTCTGAGGCTTCGTCTAACATACTTTGTACATGTTGTAAGGAGGGACTGGTCCTTGTAGAGGGACATCATGCTTGGGAGAGTGGAGGGACAGCGCAGGAGGGGAAGACCCTCTATAAAGTGAATTGATTCAGTGACTGCGGTAATGGGTGTGGATGTGTCAGAGACAGTGCAATTGACACAGGACAGAGCAAAGTTTAGGGCTGTTGTACATAGGGTCGCTATGAGTCGCAAGCGACTTGACAGCACATAACAACAACAACAACAATAGTGGCATCCACTTCCTAAATAACATGTCTCCAGAAACTCTCTGCACTTTGATAAATGTCAGTAGTTGTAGAGGGGCTTCAGGCCTTTTGCTCATAGGGTCGCTATGAGTTGTGTTCGACTCGAAGGCAATAACAACAATCAAAAGGTCAGTAAATTCAAACCCACCAATTGCTCTGTGAAAAATAGATGAGGCAGTCTGCTTCCATAAAGATTGTTGTTGTTGCTGTTGTTGTTGTTATGTGCTATTGGGTCATCTGTGACTCATAGTGACCCTATGTACAACAGCTCTGAAGCCTGCCATGTCCTCAGCCAGTCTCATTGATTCCAACACATCTACCACCATTGCCCCAGTTACTGTGTCAATTCATCTCATCTGAGGTCCTCTCCTGCACTCTCCCTCCACCCTTCTAAGCATGATGTCCTTCCCCAAGGACTGGCCCCTCCTGGTCACATCCCAAAGTATGTGAGACAGAGCTTCAAAATCCTTGCCTCCAGGACAGATCTATTTGTTCTCATGTTGGTCCATAGTATGTTCAATACTCTTTTTCAGCACTACAACACAAAGGTATCGATTCTTCTTCTATCATCCTTAGTGTCCAGCTCTCTGACACATGGCATGTAATTGCAAAGACCATGCCCCTGGGTTGGGTGCACCTTAGTCTTTAGACTGACATCATTACTCCTTAGCATTTGGAGATGTCCCTGACAGGAGATTTTTCCAATGCAATTCGTATTTTGGTTTCCTGGCTGTTGGTGCCAAGAGTGTTGATTGCCCTGGAAACCCTGTGGGCAGCTCTACTCTGTCCTTCTGGGTCCCTGTGGGTCAGAACCACCTTAACCTTAGTGGATTTTAGAAATGTGGATAGGAACCTCTCTGGTGGCCTAACGGTAAAGAGTTGAGATGCCAACTCAAAGGCCCACAGTTAAATCCACCAGTTGCACTGAGGAAGAATGACGGGCAATCTCCTCCCACGTCATTAACTGCTCCGAAAGCCATCCGGAGGGTCATCTGTGGCTTGGTTCTGACTTAGTGGTACATAACAACGTGTGTGTGTGTGTGTGTGTGTGTGTGTGTGTGTGTGTGTGTGCGCGCGCGCGCGTTTAGAACAGATATGTTTCAGGTCCACCCTGTATCAGGCCCTGACCAGTGACAGCCCAGGCCGTGAGTACCCTGTCCTTCCACACCTTGGTTTTGAAATACCATTCTCATGTAAATACCAATGACCAACCACTTGGCCACTTGGCTGCTAACCACCAGCCACTCTGAGGCCAGGGTGTATGTGATATTCTGTCCTGTAGGACTACTGTAATTTAGAATTGTGGGGTTGTTTTGTTGTTGTTGTTTTGTTTGTTTTTCTTATTATGTACCGTCGAATTGGATCTGACTGGCACAGGAGGAGATTGTCCCTCCGTCTCCAGCAGAGCATCTGGTGGTTTCGAACCACATGCCTTTAGGATTGCAGCGCAGCTTCTTGCCACTAGGCCACCAGGGCTCCCTGAATTGTGGGGTGTTTTGAGGGGAGGGTGTTAGGACCTTTTTTGAGGGGCATCCTTAGTCCATTTGCCCCACCCAGCAAGGTCACAAAGACAAAGTCCTCTATGACTTCACAGTGCCCAGGAAGCCATCTAGTCAAGGCGCGTCTCTCAGCGGCCACTCCCACTGGGATGATGGAGAGACTAGTACCTGTGACTGTGAGCGAGACAGCTAGTGACTGTTAGTGATACTCCTGCTCGTAACCACAACCATTAGTGATAGTTAGGAAGACCACTACTAGTTAGAGACACCAACCGAGTCTGCTGGAGATGACAAGTGACTGCTAGCCCACCATGGGCGCCCCCCCTGAAGAGCCTCCGGAGCTCTGGGGAAGGATCCGGACCTTCTTTAGAACAATCAAGTGCTTGCTCGACAAATCCGAACCCTCGTCCCCAGCCCCTCCGCCAGCCCCGACCCGGAACGTGGGATGCACACACGTGTACGGCTATGTGTTTGGGCACATACCTGAGAGCCAGGTGGATCGCCTCCCAGCACAGCAGGTGAGTCTGGGGACCCCAGCGAAGCCAGCGCCTCCCAATGGGACTGCACCTTCCACCCCGCCTTCATAACCAGGCGCTGCAAGAACAGAAACGCCACAAGGGGGTGGCTTTGACAAACAGAAGCTTCTTTTCTTTCAAACACCAGCTCTAAGGGAGGACTTGTCTGTCTGTGTCAGCCCTGGGGGAGGGTTTTCATCTCTTTTCAGCTTCTGTTCTCGGATTCCCTGATGAGCTTCGTCAGACACGTATCTTCCCCTGTGTTTGGCCTTGCTTGTTTGCTTAATCTGCTCTTGCACATAGCAAAAGACATACGACACTAAGGAATGCAACAATAAGACCCCAGCCCCAAATTCAGTTATAACCACATCGGTTCTGACTCCCAGCAACCCTGTAGGACGAGCTGAGCTGCCTTTTGAGGCTTTCGGGGACAGAATCTCGGACAAGCACACTGCCACATCTTTCTTCTGCAGAGTGGCTGGTGAAATTGAACTGCCGACCTTTTGGTTTGTAGCCAAGCCCTTAACCACAGAACCACGAGGCTCGTTAGACACAGATCTGTTGTTGTTGTTGTTGTTATGTGCCATCGAGTCATTTGCGACTCATAGCGACCCTATGTACAAGAGCCCTAAACGCCGCTCTATGCTGTGCCAACCTCGCCGTCTCAGACACGCTCACTCCCACTACCCCAATTACAGAATCGATCCATCACACTGAGGGTCATCTCCTGCGCCGTCCCTCCACTCTCCCAAACATGATGTCCGTCTCCACGGACCAGTCCCTCCTTGCAACATGCCCAAAGTATGTCAGACGAAGCTTCAGAATCCTTGACTCCAAGGAGCATTCCGGCTTCACCCTCTCTAGGACAAACCTGTTTGTTTTCTTAGCAGTCCATGGTATATTCAACACTCTTCTTCAGCACCACAGCTCAAAGGCATTAATTCTCTTTCTATCATTCCTAGTCCAACTCTCAGATGCATAGCACATAATTGTGAAGACTATAGGCTGAATCAGGTGCACCTTAGTCTCCAGCCTGACGTCGTTGCTCTTCAGTACTCTTGAGAGGTCCCTCACAGCTGACTTTCCCAATGCAATTCATCTCCTGATCTCCTGGGTGCTGTTACCAAGAGTGTTGACTGTGGAAGGGTTAGAATCTATATAACCTGACACTTTAGAAGGGATACAATTCCATTAATAGCACCGTCCTAGCTGGCCTGGAAACCCACCTCAGATGCCAGGGGAGACTTCTACCTGGGGATGTAGCTGGGCAAGGAGTCATGGGTATACGACATCTGCCCCACAGGTGCTGGACACTGGCGAGCGGCTGATGGTCCCTGTGGAGGTCCTGGATGTGGGCAATGAGGGCGCCTGGTGGAAATTCCTGATCTCAGGGGCTGTGGCTGGGGCTGTGTCTCGTACTGGCACTGCGCCTCTGGACCGGGCCAAGGTGTACATGCAGGTGGGGGTCGGGACACACACTGGCCCTGCTGGGGACAGCAGAGGGTTGGGGCTGTGGATATGGAGATGCGGCTGCTGGAGGTGGAGGTAACTGGGAGGAGGAGCTGTGAGGATGGTCCAAGGTCTGGGGTCAGCATCTTAAAAGGTTGGAGGGAGATCAGAGATCAGCCAATGAGGATGGGCATGGAGCAGGCTGGGGAGGGGACTGAGAGAATGGTACCTGGCGCTTGGATCAGCTCTGGGCGAGGGTTGGAGTTGGAGACTGGGGAATTGAGGATGGGGTCTGCGGATGGATTTGGAGACAAAAAAGAGAGAAGCATAAGGATGTGGCCAGAAAGGAACTCTTAGACATTGTTGGTGGGTTTGTGAAACAGTGCAACCATTCTGGAAGGCAGTTTGGAGCTTCCTCAAAAAGCTGAACATAGAAATTCCATATGACTCAACTATTCCACTACTTGGAATATACCCTAAGAATATGAGAACTGAGGAACAAACTGAGATTTGTCCACCAATATTCATAGCAGCATTATTCACCATCGCAAGAACATGGAAACAGCCCACGTGTCCAACCACAAACGAATGGATTGAGAAATTATGGTACATTGACACAATGGAATACTATGCAGCAGGCAGAAGCAATGACTTTGTAAATTATTACCTATCTTGGGTGGGACTGGAGAGCATTACGCTGAGTGAACTAACTTAGGCCCATAAGGATAAATATTGTATAAGACCATTATTAGAATGAGTATAAGGATCCAGGAGGGGTGGGAGAGGCTGCAAGCAGGGGGATGTGGATGGGCAGAGAGAAGAGGGGATTAATCATTGGGTGGTACAATTTGATGGGTGGGGGGAGGTGAGGGATGTTGAAAGAATTTGTTTGAATTTGTATTAGAATTTTGTAAATAAACTAGTGGGGAGGGGGAAGAGAGTAGCGTAGAGGAGACGAGGGATGAGATATAACGCGTGCTGGTGCTGGGTGGCAGAATTCTGTGAAGAGCCAGGGCAGGTGAGGCTGGAAAGAGGATGAATGGAGAAGGGGTTAGAGCCCAGGCTGCAGGGAACAGAAGGGATTGACCTCCAGGCAGAAGTGGGGATGCGGTGGGCTGGGGCATCCCTTGAAGGGCCAGAGTCCTTCCACCCTCAGGTCTACTCCTCCAAGACCAACTTCATGAGCCTGCCCGGGGGTCTACGGAAAATGATCCAGGAGGGGGGCTTCCGTTCCCTGTGGCGTGGCAACGGCATCAACGTGCTCAAGATTGCCCCTGAGTACGCCATCAAGTTCTCGGCCTTCGAGCAGGTGGGGAGTGGTCTGCTTGAGCCCAGACCTCAAGTCCACGTCTATGTGCTCCCTGAGTCCCAGACCCCTTCCCTAGGGTAAGGGTGAGGGAAGGAAGCAGCCTGCTTCTCTCACACTCCCTTCTCCTGTCCCAGTGTAAGAACTACTTCTCCAGCGAGCGCAGGACTCCTCCCTTCCAGGAACGCATCCTGGCGGGCTCCCTGGCTGCAGCCATCTCCCAGACACTCATCAACCCCATGGAGGTAAGAGAAAGCCAGCCCATCAGTGAAACAGGAGTATCTGGATAGCCTCCAGCCATTGAGGGGAACCATGCATCACTGGGCCAGTCACTTTCCAAGCACTGCCAGGCCTCTGGGGGACATTGTAGTTAATATTATCTCCATCCTGTTGCCGGCAGCCTTCAACTTGGCTCTGACTCAGTGACCTTATGTATAACAGAACCAAATGTTGACCAATCCTACACCATCTTCATGATCATGGCTATGTCTGAGCATATGTTTGGCTATAAAGAGCTCTGGTGGCCTAGTGGTAAGAAGCTGCGCTGCAATCTCAAAGGCACAAGGTTCAAATGCACCAGCTGCTTCTCGGGAGAAGGATGGGCAGTCTCCTCCTCTGTGATTTACCACCTCTGAAAACCTCCTGGAGGGTGAACTATGGGTCTGTTCTGACTCGACGGCACACAACAACAACAACAACATTATCTGGCTCTAGGAAGCTTTGGTGGCCTAGTGGTAAGGAGTTGCACTGCCAACCCACAAGCAGGTGGTTTGAATCTACCAGCTGCTCCATGGAAGAAAGGAATATACCCAGGTACATTCTAGGGAACATGTTGTTAAGTGCCGTCAAGTTGAGTACAACTCGTAATGACCCTGTGAACAACAGCCCTGAACCACGCCCTATCCTGTGCCACCCCCGCAATCTCCAACACACTCGAGTCCACTGCTGCAGTCACTGTGTCAGTCCACCTCATTGGCAGTCTTCCCCTCTTTCTCCCATTCTCCACCTTTCCAAGCATGATGGCCCTTTCCAAGGAATAGTCTCTAAGACTTATCAGCAACCTGCGTTATGAAGATGGCACATACTTGCTTGCTGAAACTGAGGAGGACCTGAAGCTTTTGCTGCAGAAGGTCAAGAACTGTAGTTTTCAATATGGATTGAAGCTACATCAAGAAAACAAAGATACTCACTCACCAGTGGGCCAATTGGCAGCACCATGGTGGATGGAGAAGAGATTGAGGTTGTTAACAGTTACAGCTTGCTCGGCTCCACACTCAACACTCTTGGCACCAACAGTTAGGAAATCAACAGACAAATTGCAGTAGAAAAAGCTATTGTCTGGGACCTCTCCAGACACAGTGCTAAAGAGCAATGATGTCAGTCTAGAAACTAAGGCGCACCTGACCCAGCCCATGGTTTTCACAATTGTTATGCATCAGAAAACTGAACAGTGACTAAGGATGACAGAAGAAGAATCAATGCCTTCAAGTTGTGGTGCTGGAGAAGAGTATTCAACATACTATGGACTATCAAGAGAACAGGTCTGTCTTGGAGAGGGTGAAACCAAGCTGCTCCTTGGAGGCAAGAATTTTGAAGCTCGATCTCACACGCTTTGGGTATATTTCCAGGGGAGGCCAGTCCTTAGAGAAGTACTTGGAAGAGTGGAGGGACAGCACAGGAGAGGAAGATCCAGGATGAGATGGATGGAGAACGGGTAATGGGGGCAGGCGTGTCAGAGATTATTAGATTGGCTCAGGATAGGGCAGGGTTCGAGCTGTTGCACTTAGGGTCATTATCTGCTGATAATATAACAACAATCTTTCTGGGAGTAGGTGGCCTGGTGGTAAAAGCTGTGCTGCAATGCCAAATACGTGCTGCTCGAATCCACCAGCTGCTCTGTGGGAGAAGGATGGGCAATCTCCTCTCATGCAATCTGCTGTCTCTGAAAACCTGAGGAAAGGTCAGCTTTGAGTTGCTTCTTACTCCATGGCAAACAACAATAGCAACAATTTTATGGGAGCAGATTGTTGTTATGTGCTGTCGAGTCGCCGGCAACTCATAGTGACCCTGCGTAGAATGGCTCTGAATCCTGTGCTATCCTGAGCCCGTCTCACTGACTCTAGGACACCTACCCCCATTACCCCAGCTACCATGTCATTCCATCTCATCCGGGGTCGTCTTCTCCTGCTGTCCCTCCATCCTCCTAAGTATAATAACGTCCTTCTCCAAGGACTGATCCCTCTTGGCAACATATCAAAAGTATGTAAGATGGACCTTCAAAATCTTTGCCTCCAAGGAACAACTTGGTTTCACCTTCTTTAGGACAGACCTGTTTGTTTTCTTGGCAGTTTATGGAATGAATGTTTAATATTCTTCTCCAGCACCACAACTCAAAGGCATCGATTATTCTTCTGTCATCCTTAGTCATTGTCCAGCTCTCTGATGGATAGCAAGTTATTGTGAAGACCATGCCCTGGATCAAGTGCACCTTGGTCTCCAAACCACCATCATTGCTCTTCAGCACTCTGGAGAGGTCCCAGACAACAGATGTTCCTACTGTGATTTATCTTTGATTTCCTGACTGCTGGTGCCAAGACAGTGTTGATTGCAGAACCAAGCAAGCTGAAACTGGGAACAACCTCAAGCTCTTCTCCACCTATCATGATGGTGTCTGTTGGGCCAGTGGTGAGAATCTTTGTTTTCCTGATGTTGAGCTGCAATCCATATTGCAGACTACAGACTTTGACCTTCTGCAGCAAATGCTTCAGGTCCTCCTCAGTTTCAGCAAGCATGGTTGAGTCATCTGCATCATGCAGGTTGTTGATGGGTTTTTCTCCAATCCTAATGCCACATTCCTCCTCACAGAGCCCAGCCTCCTGGATGATCTGCGCCACGTAGAGATTAAAGAGGTGTGGCAGCGGATTACTGGTTATTATCTCCTGCAGAGCCTCTGGTGATTTCTTCCTTCCAATCTCCACCAAAGTGCTTGACCATTTGTGCCACCAAGGCAGAAGTTTAAATTCAAGGCACTGGTTCTAGGGAAAGCTTTCTACCTCTGTGGAGTTTGTTGAACATCTTTGTCTCCATCATCTTCCCTTCCAGAGTACCCTGGCAATCTCCCCGTGGTCCCCATCTTTCCTCATCTCTGCCCCTTAATCTCTTTTCCTTTCTCCCTAAACAGTTTCCAAACATACCCTACAGACTATTCACATAACAGAAATGCTCTATTCCCCTGGAGATTATATTAATTACCTTCCTCATATGTTGATATTATTGCTGTTAGATGCCTTCAACTAGAACCCACGGTGACCCTAAGAACAACAGATCTGGCCCTGCCCTAATCTGCACCATCCTCATCTCTGATCTGCTTGAGTTCATTGTCAGTCATTGTGTCAACCTATGTCCTTGAGAGTCTTCCTCTATCTGACTCCTCCTCCTTTCTCGAAATGTCTTTTTCCAATGACTAGCCCTGATCCAAGAGAATGTGAAAATTGTTGTTGTTGCTGTTGTTATGTGCCGTCGAGTTGTTTGTGACTCATAGCGATC